TATATATATATATATATATATATGTAAAGGTCTGATTATTTTTAAAATAGTAACTATTTCCCGCTAAAAAATATTATTTATTAATTCTGAAAACTATTTAAACATTTTATGTTATATTTTAAATATACAATTTAGGTAATTGCGGATGATTAATTAAGGTAATAAATCACATAAAAGTTTCTTTTGTATCTCAAGATATTCATATCATATATTTCTACATATATATCATATATTTGTACATAAAATATCGAGATCACATTCCTAACAAACATTATATTTAATTATATATTTTAAAATTAATCACATCAACAAATAATATTAACATACATTAAATATTTGTGAAAATATCTATTTTCACCCCGTTTTGAAGTCTCGATAAGTTTTTCACACCACCCAATAAAAAGCTAAGTTTTTCACCCCAGAAAGTGCGAAGGTTATGCGAAAACTGTCGCATATTCATCGCAGAACTGTCCATATGCGAAGGATATGCGAAAAACTGTCGCATAACTGTCGCATATCAATTGCATAATTGTGCAAAGGCATTGTGCGATAAATATGCGACAGTTATGCAATTGATATGCGACAGTTATGCGAAAAACTATCGCATAACTGTCGCATATCAATTGCATAATTGTGCGAAGGCATTGTGCGATGAATATGCGACAGTTATGCAATTGATATACGACAGTTATGCGATGAATATGCGACAGTTTTCGCATAACCTTCGCACTTTCTGGGGTGAAAAACTTAGCTTTTTATTGGGCAGTGTGAAAAACTTAATGTGTGTTTGTTATGGGGTGAAAAAGATTTTTTCCCTTAAATATTTACCATTATATAAAAAAATGAATATTACTTCTATAATGTTTTAAATAATATTGACATTATATAACAATAAATTTTTGAATAAAGTAATATTTGAGTATTAGGATGAACCAAAATATGTAATTTTTTTTTTGTATTAAAAAATAAATATATTGTAAAAATATTATTTATATTAATATAGACGGATCAACAGACTAATACATTGTTAAAATAAAAGTTTTGCAAAATATTTTACAGTACGAAATTCCCGTGCATCGCACGGGATTCTCACTAGTCTAAAAAAAATAAAAATATGATGATTGATAAAGTAATTGTTACACAACGAGATTATTACGAGTGGACAAGGAAAAGACGAGGAGAAAAACAAGTTTACACAAGTGCGTAGTTCACATGTTGTCTTGTTCGGTCGCCAGAGGAGAGAAGGGCACCGGCGTTGCCATATACAGTCTGGTGTTTTGGAGAAGAGCGAAAAAGATAGAGGGAAGAGGATGAGAGCGAGAGAGATGGTGAATGTGAGCGTTTTTAGAGAGAGAGAGAGAGAGAGAGAGAGAGAGAGAGAGAGAGAGAGAGAGAGAGAGAGAGAGAGAATTAAAACATCCAATTTATTTGGTAAGTAAATCTCACCATATTGGGTATATTTGGAAAATTTTGTGGATCTTTAGGCTATTTTATAAATAAAAATAAAAAGGTAACAAAATTGTTATATAAATTAAATAGGATAGTATGGGGTGTAAATTCCTTATAAATATAAATGTGTGCACTTTCTTTTACACATTGTTTCATTAAAATATTTTTTTTTTCATCCGACAATTCATGAAATTATATGTGATATAACAATCGATATCCAAAAGCATATCCAAATCGGATGTATAGTTAATTATGCGAATACATTCGCATATTTGTTAATCGTATATCCATATCCACCGCATAATTGTTGATATACGAAACTCTTTCATATTTATAGTAACCGCATATCAAAATTGATGGCCGCATATTTATCATTATGCGGCATGTTTTTGCATATTTTTCGACTAGCATATCCACATCGTATGCATCGTTAACAACTATGCGAAACATTTACGCATATTATTTAATTGCATATCCAAATACACAGCATAATTTACCATATGCGGGAAAGTTTCGTATATTAATTCATCGCATATCCAAATCTGAAGTCACATATTTTAGTTTTATGCATTCTCTCGCATAGTTTTCAATTTGCATATCCAAATGTATAATACTGTACAATTAACGATTATGTGTAACATGTTCGCATATTCATGAATTGCATAATTCATGATTATCCAAATCAAAATTATGCGAAGATTGTTTCGCATATATAGTTACCGCTTATCCAAATTGATCGCCTCATATTTAGAATAATGAGAAATATTTTCGCATAGTTTTCAACTCGCATATCCAAATGTTTAACGCCATATAATTAACGATTATGCGTAACTGATTGCATACTCACGAACCGCGTGATTTATTATTATCCAAATCAAAATTATGCAAAATTTATTTTGCATGTATAGTTACTTGCTGAGCTTGGGTCGTCGTTCGGGGGTTGCAGGATGCGACTCTCTGACTGTGTAGCTGTTTGAGTGGTGGTGTGTAATTGGGGGTGGGTTTGGCTGCTCGCAGTTGTCGGTGGCGGGTCGGCCAGGGTCGAGGGCGTGGCTAGATCCCCATGTTGCTGTGATTCCCTTTGGTGGGAAGGGTCGGGGAAGCCCGGCTTACCCGAATTTAGGCCAGTGGTGATGGTTGGATCCGGAATGGTGGATTGTGTGGGCCATTGCTTGTCCGACTTTGAGTCGGCTACATTCTCGTGGTGGTTCGGGGCTCGGGATTTGACTTCAACTAGGATTATTGGCAGTTTGGGAGTGGGGGTCCTGGACCGTGGATCTAGCTGTGGGGTGGCCTTTATTCTGTTGGTGCCTTGTGCAGGGCTCGGTTATTCTGCTGCGGAAGGGCTTTTCTGTCTTTTGTTTGGTGTTTTCGTTTTTTTTTTGTTGTGTTTAGTTTTTGTGTGTTAGTATATTGTGCATAGTGTTAATTCTTTTTTTGAGAGCTTAATTCTGTTGAGAGCTTGTGAGTGCGTTGTGCGTGTATTGATTAGGCTGCGTTTTGGGTTATCCTCCCATGGCTTCAGCTATGTAGCTGCTTTTTTCGGCTGTTACGGTTGTTTTCTGCGTGTAAATAATAAATACTACTCTATTCTTTTTAAATGTCATTTTGACATTATCAACTATTAACAAAATAAATGTCGTTTTGGATATTTTGTACATATTTTTCCATTATTACCCTCATAGCTAATAAATACACTTACGTCTTTTCATATTCACTCTTCATCTTTTCTCAAAACATTCATCTCTATCCTCATTAATTAGGGTTATTATTGACAAAAAAAATATTCTTAATAACTGTGCAACTTTTCAAAACGACACTTATTATAAATAGAGGAGAGTATGTGTTTTATTTATGAAATTATGCAGTTTGAAAAAAAAAAAAAAAAAAAAAAAAAAAAAAAAAAAATTCAGCCCACTAGTTTTGAGCAGGTCCCAGATAAAAAGCCCACTCACTTTCTCTACGCAGCGGGTTGGCGCCTTGGTTGGGAAAAACTCTTTCAGTATCCTGAATCCTCATTCTTCTCACCCAAAAGCTTCCCTTATTCTCTTTCTCACACACACAGATCCTATCTGTGTCCCCTCATTCATCATACCAATCTCTTCTGAGGAAAAAAACCAAGTTAAGAAAGATTGGACAGTCGGCAACCTCCGTATCTTATCCTTGTAAGTCGGTCATTTTCTCTGAGAAATTGCGCAGATTAAATGTTTCGTGCGTGTAATAATTTGGCTCTACGATGCTTGCGATTTAAACCTGCTGTTCGAATTATGTTAATGTGTGCTTGCAGGGGGTGAATGTAGGTGACATTTTACGGGTTAGCTCCCTGTTCGTATTAGGGTTTGTTTAAGTTGTTTCCGATTCGACCCACTCTGTCGTACGATTAGCGAGTCGGTTTGTGTTAGTATGTTAGAGTTTCGGTTTTGATTGTGTACAGGCCATCGAGTGTTTTTTCTCTGGGTATTTTCTCATTTTTGAATTCGTTAAGCATTATCGTTTGATGCAGCAATTTATTATGCCTCAGGCCGTTCATTTATGTGTTTCTTGTTATTTTTTATTTCACTGGATCAGAGTTTTTTCTATCTCGGATGGAGATCTCGGATGAAGCGGTGGTTGTAAATTCTAGTAGGCTGAAATCTGTTGTGTGGAACGATTTTGACAGAGTAAAAAGGGGCGAATCATTTGCAGCCATATGTCGGCACTGTAAAAGAATACTGAGCGGATCAAGTACGAGCGGAACATCTCACTTAAGAAATCATCTTATCAGGTGCCGTAGGCGGTCGAACCACGATGTGAGTCAGTTGTTAACTAGGGGGAAAAGGAAGCAGAATAATGTTGCACTTTCCAATTTCGCTTACAATCCATCTTTGGTGAAGAAGGAGATAGTAACTGTCGCGAGTACAAGCATTGGGCAAGGGCTGAACACAGGAGGTTACAATTTTGATCAAAGGCGGAGTCAGCTACTTCTTGCACGCATGATTATGATGCATGGTTATTCTTTGAGTATGGTTGAGGATATTGGCTTCAGGATGTTTGTTAGGAACCTTCAGCCCTTGTTTGATCTTGGGACGGTTACCAGAGTTGAGGCTGATTGTGTAGAGATCTATAGAAGGGAGAAACAGAGGGTGTATGAGGAGTTGGATAAATTACCTGGAAAGGTGAGCCTTAGTGCTGATAAGTGGACTACTAATGTCGGCACAGAGTATTTTTGCTTGATAGCCCACTATGTTGATGATTCTTGGGAAGTGAAGAAGAAGATTTTAAATTTCTTGGTTATTGATCCTTCTCTAGCAGAGGACACACTGTCAGATTTAATTATGAGTAGTCTTGGGAATTGGGATATTGATAGAAAGTTGTTCTCGTTGACAGTCGATAACCGACCGAGCTATGACAAAATTGTGTGTAGAATCAGGGATCAACTCTGCCAGAACAGGTTTCTTATGTGTGAAGGGCAGTTGTTTGATGTACGCTGTGCAGCAAGCACCATCAAGTTACTGGTACAAGATGTCCTGGAAACATCACACGAGATAATTAGTAAAGTTCGGGAAACCATAAAGTATGTCAAAGGTTCTCGAGTTACAGAAGAGAAGTTTAACGAGATAGTGCACTTAGTTGGTATCAATCGGCAGAAATGCTTGTCCTTTGACAATCAGTTTCAGTGGGACTCGACATATGTGATGCTTGAGGCTGCATTAGAGTACAAAGAAGCCTTTCCCCAACTGCAGGAACATGATTTGGACTTCTCCATGTGTCCATCTGGTATCGAATGGGACAGGTTGAGGGCCGTAACGAGCATCTTGAAGTTCTTTTATGAAGTTTCTAATGTCTTTGTGGGGCGCAAACACATGACCGCAAATTCTTATTTTGCCGAGATCTGTGACATCCATTTGCAGTTGATAGAGTGGTGCCAGAAGTCAGATGATTTCATTAGCTCGTTGGCTTTGAAGCTTAAATCGAAATTCGATGAATATTGGAAAAAGTGCAGCTTGATTATGGCAATTGCAGCAATCTTAGATCCACGGTTCAAAATGAAACTGGTGGAGTATTACTATCCTCAGATATATGGGGACACTGCTCCAGATTGCATTGACATTGTTTCAAACTGTATGAAAGCTCTTTACAGTGGTCATGCTATATACTCACCTTTAGCTTCTTCGGAAAATAGCTGTGGTGTCGTTAAGGATAGGCTTACTGGGTTTGACAAATTTCTCAATGAAAATTCTCTAGGCCAAAACATAAAATCTGACTTGGACAAGTACCTGGAGGAACCACTCTTCCCACGTAGTGTTGAGTTTAACATATTAAACTGGTGGAAAGTTCATGAGCCGAGATATCCTGTGCTTTCCATGGTTGCCCGCAACATATTGGGGATCCCAATATCGAAAGTCACTCTGGAGTTCCTGTTTGACACTGGAGATCGGGCCTTGGATTATTGCTGGAGCTCAATGAAGTCAGATACTCTGCAAGCTTTGATGTGTTGTAAGGATTGGATGTGCCAAGAGTTAGAAGGTAGGGAGGGACCTTAACATTACTTTGAATTTGTTGATATATTTTGCTTATGTCAACAGTAGTAACAGATATTTTCAATTCAATTTGATTTACAGATTCCAGGAGTCTTGAAAATGAAACATTTGCCCTGCGCTATGATGCAAAGTAGCAAATTTTTTGGTATGCTTTCTAATCCCATTAGCTTTCTAGAAATATAGTCTGCTTTACTTTTGGATATCCTGTGTACTCTCGCTCTCATTTTAGTTTTTAATATTATTACCGATCTGATGTCATAGTTTTATTTATTGACCTCCATTAAAATCTGTGCAATAGTTGCAGGGATGGCACAGACTAATGTGTTCATTGTGCTTTGAGTTTTCATGTGCTAATGGATTTTTTGACAGACTTTCTCTTTATTGTGTTTAAGCTTGTTTTCCTTTTCAGGAAGTTAGATTTGAAATTGCATGCCTCAAGTGTTATCACCTGAGCACCTGCAATTTCAGACATTTTATAACTTGGGGAGTCGAGTGGTTTTCAAAAAGTTGAGAGCAATACCCTGATGGTGTGACTAGAGTGACCAAGGATTGAAGCACAGATTAGCGTTGTTTTCTTTTAGTTTCTGTGTCAATATGAAGGGAAGAATAAAAAGAAAATGAGAAATACTTTGAAGGAAATCTCATCCGTAGACCTTGGGCAATGGGTGCTTAGAGCCTCAGGTTCGTTTGACTGGGTCACTGGATGCATTTGCATGAAATACATTGCAAACACATACTATGTTTTATTGTGAGTTATTATGGTATATTTATAAGTATTTAGCCTTAGGCTCATGTAATATTGAACATGACTAGATAAGGGGGGAGCTTCTGGTTGCAAAGATTTTGGCATGGGAAATTGCTTTAGCAATTGACATTGAAATAATTGGTGATTGCGGCTTTTTATCCCATTTGACTTCATTGTAATTTATATGTACAATGAGATAAATATAAATCGAAATGATTTATTTCGTTGTACATGTGCATCATGATTAAATAAATTCCTGCTTGGAAGTTCGGTCAATGGATCTTATGAAAACTGTTTTGAGCCTTTCTGCTTGACCATGGTCTGTCAAATTGGACACATTACTCTAGAACAAGGTTTTAAATAGCGGGCTAAAACGTTTATGGCACTGTAGCTATAGCGGAGATTTAGCGGCTAAATTGCACATGAATACAAATAGCGGCACGCTGCCAAAAAAAGCTATTTCACAAATAGCGGCAACTTTAGCGAGCTATTTATTTCCTTGCTCTAGAATGAGGATTTTCCAAGATCTCAATCCACCTTTTAAATTGTTTTAGGTGGCTGGCTGTTGGGAGGGCTTGTTTGGGTGTATTTTGCTTTTGTTCTTGTGTTTTTTGGTGTTTTAGGTGTTGTGTGTTTTGTTTTGTTTGTGTTGTTTGTTTTGTGGTTGTTTGTGTTGATTCTCCCTTTGGGAGCTGTGTTGATTCTCCCGTTTGGAGCTTTTATTCTCCGAGCTTAGCTTTCTAGGTTTTTTATCCCCTTGGGACTTTTTTTTTGCTCGTGAGTGCGTTGTGGTGTCTAGGCTGTTCTATGGGTTGTCCTCTCAGTAGATTCAGCTAGTACTGTTGTCTAAAGGTAATTATGTGTTTTTTTATAATACTCATCGTTCAAAAAAAAAAAAAAAAAAAAATCCACCTTTTAAATTGGATTTTTTGGTTTTTGCGGTGGCATGCATTGTTCCACAAATTTACCCAGGGTTATAGAAATGCTTATGTTGGTGGTCTTTATTTATTTATTTATTTATTTATTTATTGTAGTTTGTGTGATGTTGGTGGTCTTTATTTATTTATTTATTTATTGTAGTTTGTGTGGTTAGTAAATATCAAGATGTCTTGAGGAGAATGATTGGTATTTATTATTTATTTATTTGTTGTAGTTTGTGTGGTTGGTAAATATCAAGATGTTTTGAGGAGAATGATTAACACAAAAGCAAAATTAAAGTCAAGGTACATAATAGTTGTGTTCTATTTAAGATGAAATTGTCTAGTAAAATACTTACAGTTGACGTCAAAAGCTTTCAAGATACGACTTTCGATTTGTATATAGGAGTATTTCAAATATACAAGTTTTGATTTGTAATAATATTGTTTGGAACTCTTAACAGTCAACGAAAAAAAAATCAAAGAACACAATATGCTTTGTGTTTTAAAAATGTGATGCAAGAGTTCTTAATTTCAAGTTATGAATGGTTTCAATGTATGTGGGCATTTATAGATGTAAGAAAACATCTCCAAGTGGCTTAAGTGTCAAAAGACACATTTTAGAATGTACTCGAAGGAGAACGGATACATCTAGAGATCAAAAGACATCTTATGACCACCAAGGGCCGCGCTGGCCGTGGCTAGCTACGTACTCGTGCGCCGTGGGCTCGTACTAGCCAAACTCGGAAGTGAGTTCTCTTTTTTTCTACTCGTCCCGAACGAATCCTTCTAGAGTTATAACACGCAAGCTGTATGATCAAATATTGTTTGGATTATTCTAGCATTCGTCAAAGTCAAAATGTTGGTAATTCAATAATTTGAGTTACTTAAACTCAATTGTTTCAAACTTAAATTTACCACATATACAATTTTAAATTAATTTCTCATTCACCTTAAAATGATTTTGAGAATTTTCTAAATCTCCCACTTAAAAAAATAAAACCGTAAAAATACAATTCCATTTTTTCTTACACTTTTTAGCTTTTATAATCACAATTAACAACATTGTTTCAATTTAACCTTACATTTTAGAGATGTATTGACTCTCCTCTTAATATTTACTAATTCAGATATGTATCTCGTGTCTCGCGTCTTGCATTCTCCCCCGATCCAATGTTATGTTGGAATGAGGGAACCTTATTACAAGTTTAGTCCCTCAATTTAATTACCACTCTATCATGTTTGCTTCTTGTTCGATTTGATCCACTATCTGTTTACAGGCTAAGCTATAATTATGAATATTTAGGATGACCTAGCATTCTTAAGACTCTTGCGCATATTTATAGTTATGCTGATACTATAATATTACTCACGCGCTCAAATATTAGTTTTGTAAATTATATTTATTCACATCAATATATTGAGTAAGGTCACAAACGTTCGTTCTTTAGTATACAATGTGATCATAGATGTCGTAATGATGAAGATATAATAAATGTTTACAATGTAGAGAATAATAGTGGAAATTAGTTCAAATAGTCTTTCCAACTTAACAAATTGTCTAAATAACCTTTGACCCAAAAATAAGAATAAAAATTAATGGAAAATAGCATTAAACAGGAAATTATATATTTGCCCTCTC